GGCAAAAATCGAAGACAAGCTTTTTAATATAAATAATTAATTTTATGTTGTAAAGGAAAAACTTTTTGGAATTTGGAAGTTTAAGTAGTAAGTAGAGTTCGGATGCCAGTTCGTAAATTACAGGTCCATCCGTAGAGCTTTTGTTTGAGTAGAAGACTTTTAGAATCTATTTATTTATGAATCTGTTTATTATGATAAATTTAGGCTATGTTTTCTCTACAACAAATTTCAGGGCTCCAAATTTAACTTACACTTCTTTGATTTCATTTGGATGTCAAAAACCTTAAACAGGCTAAGGGATGGTTTTATAATGGTACGATAGGTACTAATTGACAGGGTTGGAAAAAAACAATTGTTTATTAAAGTTGTGAAACGAATACTTCAAAACGTTTTAAAAATGTGTTTTAGAAATTTTTTTCTTATTATTATTTTGAACACATGCTTTAAACGTTGTTGACTTGTTTTAAAGAAGGTTTTTATGTTCGCGCATGGACGTATTTAACTATTTGTTTAAGAATATTTTAAGGTTTAATGTTTGGGAGGTATGTCAAAATGCTACGAGACAAATAAAAATTTGGAAGAACTTTCCTCATTCAATTCTAAAACTCCTGTAAAAATTACAAATCGATTCACTAAACCATTAAAAAGTTATTGAAATTTTAAAAAATTGTAATTTTACACGTCATTTTATGGAGATTCGTTAACCGAACAGATTAAATTTATTTTTATTAACAGAAAAAAAGCTACCAGAAATTTCAAACTTTTATAATAAGTAACTTGAACTCTGGAGAATCACTTTAGCGTAAGGTTATTCAAATTCACTAAATGGTTATCGAGGAAAAAATGAAAAATTAGCTGAAAATCTCGTTTTTACTTGATAATATAATGATAATATTTATAATTGTCTGAAATAAATGCAATTTTAAAGTTTTAATTATTATTTAAACATATTAAAAAGTTTTACGCTCATTATTAATATAGATTGAAACTAAATATTTTTTTGTTTCGAAGTTGAAATCACGGTATATTCACTGCCAAAGGTCAGTTAAAAATTTTGCTGGTTGATCATAAGCTTGATTACTTTAAATACATATTCCTTTTTAAGGGATCAAGAATTTTATCCATTATGTGAGTAATAAATTGCATTCTTTTGTAGAGGCAAGAAAGACAAAACTTCGTAAGATCTTGCTGCCAATACTTCTCCTATTGAAGTTCAAGACTTTGATCCTTATCCCAGCAGCACTGTTTGCTCTTGCGCTGGTAGCGTTTAAGGGTTTAGGAGCAGGATTTTCAGCATTGCTTATATCTGGCGCTGTGGCGTTACGAAGTTTTCTGAGTCATCCGTCGTCAAGCAGTTCAACGTACACGTACGAAGTTGTTCCACAACCTGTAGCTCCACATTGGAGCAGAGCTGGTGACACAGGGCACGAAGGATGGAATGCTATTATTCCAGGATACCAAGTTGCAGCGAAACCTGTATAATATTTTACCAAACACTTTTGATTTGAATTTTTAACTAAACAGTATTCGTAATTTATTTATGTTTTTGTTGATTAATAAACCGTCCAAGCAAATTGATTGACTTTCAGAATGTCAAACGTCAAAGTACTTATCACCATCATAAGAGTGTAAGTCCACACCTACTCCTTCTCCTACGTATTATGTATATTCCTCGAAAACTAGAACATCCCACATCATAACAGCTCGTGCAACAGAAATTTAATCTATGTCTCCTTCATATCCTGTTTACTCCTGTTTCTGCTTCTAGCATGTCTCTAATTAGTCCTTTATTTCTTAGAAGGTATCCTACCATTGTATCCTTTATTTCCTTATAGTAGAATCTTTAGTTTTTCTACTACTTCCCATACCTTCTCCTTTTTAACTTTTCTATCTACGTTATTTTTATCATCTTCCTTACCAAACTTAAACGCAATAAATGATACAATATCAAAAAGGTAAAGGTATAGTCCGGTAAATTTAAATGAAGGTATATATAAAACTTGTAACTTAAATTTCGTTTCGTAAAACAAATCAAAGCTGTTCAATTAGAATAGTCCAACTTAATGCAAACTTAAGTGTTTCCATCGTTGGTGGTCCTATTTTTATATATTTTTTTTGAAATTACTGCCGATTATCATTGTCTGAACCCTGAATGAAGACGAAAATGCAAAGTTAATGAAATAAAATGAGCACAAGTAATTATCGTCCCGATTACATAAAATAATGAACGACTAGGTTACTCGATAATGTTCAGTTAAAATAAAATGCACTATAAAATGTAGTATGTCCAATGCTTTCCTTCAAAGTATGGTGTAGTAATTGGAAAAACTAATATCAAACTATAACCGCACCTAACTCAACACCAATCAGAACAGTTAAAAATAATAAAATAAAAATTAGCCACTTTAATGTATTCGGATGACATTTCCTTATTACATGATTAAGTTTTGTATCTTGTTCATTAACAGTTCCTATAGTTAGTCATTACTTGTCGTTCCAGCATATAACACGTAACAAATACAACACACAACCAGTTTCATTTTGTTTGAGTATCATATACATATGTGTTGTTATTGGCCAAAAATTCGCGCATAAGCAACAATGTGTGAGCGTTATCATGGTGCAAAAGCAATTTTTGTTCTTCCACAAATTAGTACCTTTCTGGCAGATTCCTTCATGCAAATAGCGCATAACTTCCAGGAAATATTTCTTATTTACTATTTTACCCTGTGGTAGGAACTCATGATGCACCACGCCCTTGCAATCGAAGAAAACTGTAAGCAAAATCTTCACATTCAACCTAACTTGGAACACTTTTTTCTGTCTTGGCTAGTGCGGTAGCTTTCATTGGGATAATTGAGCTATGGTTTCCTCGTCATAACCATAAACCCATGTCTCGTCACCAGTTATGACCATCTGGAGCAAATTTGTGTCGTCGCGGACAATCCAACAGCACCTTAGTAATGTTAATTCGATGCTGCTTTTGGTCGAAATTGAGCAATTTTGGTACGAATTTCGCAGCGACCCGTCTTATGCCCAAATCATTGGTAAAAATCGAATGGCGGGAACCAATCGATATGTTTAGGTCATCAGCAACTTCTCTAAAGGTGATTCGACGATTGGCCAATACTATTTTCTTCACTTCATTAATGTTTTAGTCTGTTGTTGACGTGCTCGGACATCCGGCACGCTCTTCGTCGTTCACATCTTCTCAGTCCTCTGAGAACATTTTTGTTCACATAAAATTTGATAGATTCTTTGATCTATTTTTTTAGAATAGGCAAAAATCGAAGACAAGCCAAAACACGTGCAAGCAAAGCAGCTGTCAAAAATTAACTAAACATTCAATATGACCGAAGTTGTCGGTATACGTGAGAGACATGAATACCAACATAACGCTAAAAAACAATTGAAAATCAAATATACGTAACCGGCGGAAATTCTAAATTTGCGATACTTTTTGAACAGACCTCGTATTTATGATAAGATGCTATCATTGCGAATATATTAATGAAATAATTTTTCCTGCTTTAATTCATCGCAGACATATGTTTCCAAATGATGTGTATTTTTTTTCTTGAAAAATTGCGACACTTAGTATATATATGTTAGACTAGTTTGTAACTAATCGTGCTAAATGTTGTGCTTTCATACTTTATAATATTCAAATTATTTGCAATAAGATCGTGTAGCGGTAAATTTGTGCTAAGTGAAGTTGCGACCAGTTGCTACTTGGATTTCATTCGAACGTTATCCCTACAATTAATTGAAAGTTGATCGTATTTTTCTGTAGTTGATGAAAGTAACAAATTTCCCCTTTGACATGAATTCACTTTTCGTCTGTCATATATTAATACTCTCTAATATTCATTAAAAAAATGGAAGCACACATCTGGTAATAATATTATTGGAGAAATCTACTCATAAGTTACCTTTTCATTTCGAAAACCGTTTGAGTTTTAAATTTCAAATCAAGAGCAGATGGCAAAGCAAAGTTGAAAATCTAACTAATATTATAAATGCGAATGTGTCTGTTTGTCTGTTTATTAGTTTATAACAATTTCACGTCTTAACTACTCAACCGATCTCCATGAAATTTTGTTTCATACATTGTTAGGGGTGCAGAAAAGGACATTTTTATCCAGAAAAAAGTACTGTTCCCGAGGAATAAAAAAATTAGTTTCCTGAAATCTAAATTATCTTAGTTACTACAAGTTATTACATATACTTATATATGTACAGATTAACTGTATCCGCAGTTCGCCCTCTTGATATTCGCTCGACGATTTTTCCGTCGATTTAAGTATGTTGGAAAATTGGTTTGCACGAAAAAACGTTTTTATTTTAATGGAAAAACATACAGTCTACTCCACCCTGAATGTCTACTGTAAATACATTACTTACCACGAATTTAACCTACCTACCTACTGTTAGGTAATTTATAATTGTAGTGACCATTGAATTTTAAATCGCATTATTAGATAATCTGTAAATAACTTCTGTTTTAGTTTAATTTTAACATTTTTTTTTTTAGTCTTTGGAGATAGATTTGCTTATCATTATTCAACCTATTTTATTTTATTATCTTGGAAATTTCCATAATGCAAATGCATACAAGGCAATCAAATACCTTCTGAATTTTCTTTTGCAAACAATAATAATAGGCCGATTTGGTCCCAACTTTGTTAATTTTATTATCGATGCTCTTCAATTATATGCAAGTTGCAGGAATTTCATAGCTCGAGGCAGAGTCATACCTTGTTAGGTTTTTCCCCTTATTAGCTTCTGGCTCGTATTCTTTTGTTGCATATATACCATGTATTCGTGGTGGCACCAGAACAATTTCTGATTTTGTCACATAATTTTGAGTTAGTTACGTTTTGTCCTTTTTCTTCGTTAACTTGCATTTTTAATTTTCAATTTCTCTCTTCGTTGTGCCTGTAGTTGTAATCCGGTATTCATAGTCAATAGATCATTTGTAAATTAAGTCCATATATAGTGTTTTATATCCAGTTTCATTCACGGTAAACAACTTTCACACACATACAGGATTCTTTTGATCCAATTATTATTTGCGAATATTGTCAAATATTGTACTAAGCAAAACAAATGGAATAGAAAGGCAGTCAACTGACTTAGACAATATTTGCCGTCACAACGGAGGAGTCATTTTGTAATCAACTTTCCATGCGGTCATTTATAGACTTTGCAAGCTTTTAAGTAAAAAATTAATAATGTTCTTATAAGTTTTCTATTTTCTACAGTTTATTCACGGAACACTTTACAAGTTACAGTCCCTATACCAAAAAAATTTATTGTAGTACTTTCCATTCTACTTATCCTTAATTTGATAAAAATGTCATCGATCGCCTGTAAATAAGATACAAGAAGAGGAAATCGATCAATGATCAATAAATAATCATCATTGCAAACAGGCGAATATTGAAAGCTAGTTTCCTTTGAAGTGCGTTTCTAAATTATTTCCTCAAATTGATGATACAATTTTTTAGCTGATTTATGCAAGATTTTTGATGTATCAAATACCTTCGGTACAATACAATACATCTAGAGTACAGCGTATTAGGAATTCAGCCCCGCTATATTACTATGCATTAAGTTTTTAGAATAAATAATTATAATACATCAATTGTAATGTTAATTTTAACATTTGTCTGTGTAAAGTTTGTAAACTTTTTGATCAGTCAAGATAGGTACCTATGTCACTTACAATTGGTAATAACAGTAATAAAAAAATTGAAAATTGGACAAGAAGGCAAGCATAATGGAAAAGACTGATAAACAGGACGATGGAATGTAAATTGTTGAGGATATTAAGAGACAACAGGCTAGATAAAAACAGAAATACTCAGGAATATCTTGCAGAAGAAAAGGGAATATCACTATATAAAGAGGAAAAGGGAGATCCATAATAGTGAAATTGGATGGTGTACTTAGAAGTAACTATTACTTATACTATTGGGCGACTTTTTTAGTTCAAATTATATAATGTAAAGGATTAACAATAATATTGTAAAACAAAAGGACCTCTTTAGAAGAATGAAAGATTATCTGTGGAATATTTCTGCCTCAACATTCACCTAAGTGATCCAAGGAAACCATAGAAAAACTTGAACCAAGGCAGATGGATTCGGAATCGAACCGGCGTCCTCTCGAATGCCAAGCAATGGTCTAAACCAGGGGTCGGCAAACTTTTGAGTTGGAAGAGTCGAAAATTACAATTTTCAAAATTTCAAAGTTTTTAAAGAGCCACAAAATTTTTTCAATATATAGTACTCGCATAAATAAAGTTTTTTTGAGAAAAACTAATCTATTTATTCATAAGAAAAAAATTCTATTTATAGAAACGTATAATTGTGTTATTCAATATTGTTTATTTTTATGACTGTACGTACCTATTTTGATAAGAATAGTGTGTTCAATGTTTTAATAATATTTAGTGAATAAATAGATA